TCCTCAGTCGTGAAGCCTGTAACTGACAAATTAAAATTCGTGAGGCCACTTAATAATGTCCTGCAGGTTATTGATTCTGATAAAGAAGGAGGAGTTTGCCACGCTACCCAGCAAACATTGAACTAGCGGCAGAAGTCCGGCCTAGTGCAGGTTAGTCTGGGAAAGTGACGATGCCGGGGTATAGGTAATGGGCCGATGATTTTCCCATGCCAAGTAACCATCAGTTGAAAATACGATGATGGCCTTGTAATGGTAAGATGTCTGGAACTAATTGAATACTAACGAGATCTGGCCCTTTGCTGGCCAATTTCATATTCACTACCCGTCCCCCTGGCGGATGTTTTGGGAACGCCTACATCAACAATCAGCTGATCAATATCATATGTGACTAAGATGGCTGACTCTCGTGAGTGGTGATCGCGTACTAGTTTGTCTATGTCGAATTAATGTGGTACTCTCTTTCCGTGATGGTTATTTATGATGGCAGGAGTATTCTCAATTGATAATAATAGAAGACAGATTCTTCAATTATGATAATATTGAGTAAGTATCAATGTACCTACATAGTGTTCGGAATGTCATTATTTGATGCATGTGTTTGGTATCTCGTAACCTCATATACCTATAATGATTATGATAATTGGAGTTAACTATACTTCTCTAAAAGCAACCATAATTTTTAACTCGTTTGTTGCTATCAAAAGCAATCTCAGGTTATGTGAACCTATCTCTATATTGAATAACTGAATAACAATGAGATTTCAGCTACAGAATTACCTGTGCCAACACCATAATGAGAATTGAAAAAGTCATGCAACTCATAATAAGCCACTAATATAAAACAAATAATGCATTTTATATACCAGAAGTACCCCACAAAGAAGAATGCTACCCAATAAGATATAGATACCACACACCAACTAGTAAGCAGTCACTCCGAGAAGTTTCATCGTTGAAGAACAGAGAGGTTAAGAAGATATCATTGTGTCATTCATAAAATTGTTTTCTTAGAATCTGGTATGTGTCTGATTTATGATGAGAGGGTTATGTTGTGAAATATAGAGGTACTAGAACTTTCAGATCCATTGGACCCCTAAAACCCCTACCCCTCCCCTACCTCGATAGTATGTAACCAATGTCGTTAATTGGCCATTACAGTCCCATCATTCATGTATATGCTGGGCTTGCTATGGGAAACTCAATGTGTCGATTATGTTGTACTGGCCTTTTGCCGTGGAACTGAATATGATTGCTGGGTACCCAGCACTGACGGGACCAGCTGCCGGCCGCAGTGTACTGATATATAGAGTCCCGCATATGGGACTATTTACTGGGCCGCTGATGTCAGGTATGGGAAAAATATACTAGGCCATTGATGCCCCATATCAAGATGTTTGCTGGGTAGTCATCTGAAGTGATATGCTTCAGTGAAAAAACACCCACTATAGCCATCTCGCAATATTTTTGTTTTATTATTAATATTATATCTATCGGTATAACTTCCATTGTGTCACGTTATTTATTGAAATGTCATACTGAAGATGTTCCAGTTGATTGAATAAATCTATACGGTAACGACCTGTAGGTGATTATTTTATATATTATTATGTCTAAACCTTCGTGGTGTCGAGCGGTTTGATGCGACAAAATATGTGAGGCAGTAATAAGCTGTTTTGAATTTGTATTTCCTCTTGCGAACGAGTCTGGCTTTTTTCTAAAAACTCATTCTGAGGGAACAATAGCTAACGATTATCAGAAGAGCCTTAGTTATTTACATTCGATAAATGTAAGAATTCTTTTGACATACTCGATATATTTCTGATACCTAATACTGGAAATCGCTGCCTTATTTTCATACATCCGAGACAGAACTCTTCATTTGGCTTTGAGACGTGGGCTGCAAATCTAAATAAATATGCCACGAATTCCAACACTCAGTATATTGTTACACTATGAGTTCACACGCGACCACTGAAATATAGCATTAAAGTAGTTATGGTTATGTTATGGCTGTGACATTCTGACATCTTTTCGAAGTTCTCAAGACGTAATTTTTTGACGTCAATCGGTCAGTTTTCACTGAGCTGCTACCTGGGTAGCTCGAGGTTGTGTTGTCTCCCGACGCGTTGGGGTAGTGGCTTATTTTTTGGAGCTATAGCACAACAAAAGCTATCAACAGTGTATATATATATATATATATATATATATCCGGAAAAGTACTCACTTTTTTCCCGTATGGAAAAAGTAATTCAGGAGAAGTGACATTTTATAACCTGCTATTAGAGATGAAATGTCAAACTTTTTTCCCGTCACAGAGAAGAAGTTTTAGGCATTACATATATCCTAGCAAACATAGTTACATCACAGCCATGTTACAATTGTGACCTGTGATATTGCATTCTATGTCACATAGACGTCGCTGCGATGTCAGAGGGATGATATTTTGTCCCACTAAAGATTTATCCATATGCCACATCGCTGCAATAAGATATATTTTATTCAATGTTATTTGTGATGGAAAAGCGATGTTTCAAAACGACAAAAGGTTTCCTCAAACATGGTGGGGTAATTGGTACACCACTGACTTCTGATGACATCTAATATTGATTATGTGTTTTTGTGATTGGTTGGTGGTCCCTCGGGTCTCCTGATGTCCATTCAATCATCTTTTCAGCGGCGGCGCTATCCCTGGTACGCACGAATCTCCATCAGGATGAGATCAGTATTCGTATAAAAAATTATGTAGTGTGTTTCAGCGAAATGTAAGCAAACCAAGAATAGTTTGGTAGCGATGTTACGATTTTTTGCGCATTTAGCTGCATTTTTTAGAGTAAAGTATATTTATAGGTATTCTTTCTCACCGAACAAGAATCGGAATAACAAATTTTTCAAAAATTCTCGCATATCAGTTTGCTTCTGTACATCGCAGCGATGCACTATACATGATATCGTATTGATGCCTCATCATGACATCTAATAAGATATGTGTTTACTTCTGTACATCGCAGCGATGGAACATATTCGTAATATCGCAGCCTTGCCTTATCGCGATATCTAAGAGATGTCATGTCGCAGATGTGTCTGCTTATTTGTATATCGTAGCGATGTAACATTCGTAATATAGAAGTCTGGCCTCATCGCGACATCTCAGAGATATCATGTCGCAGATGTTATTGCTCATGAACATCGAAGCGATGAAACGCTTGTGATATTGCACTGTTACCTAAACGCGACATCTCTGAGATGTCATGACACAGATGTGTGGGCTAGGATACTAATTTTTGCAATTCGTTTCAGTTTTGAAACTCTCTGACTCTAGTTCATCTCTAATCCCGCCAATAAATAATCCTAGCTATATGAATGTGAAGGAGACCTGATTCTCGACGTCTGAAGCAACATCGCAGATCTCTCACCCCTATGCCAAATATTACACTACAATGCTCTGTCCACTCCAGATAAAACCCAATGGCTCACCAGTGAAGAAGTCAGAATTGACGAAGTCTGAAACTGTGACGCTCCCATATTATTAATAATGATAATAATAATAATAATAATAGCAATAACAATAACAGCAAGACTTTTTCTGTCTCACACAACGATATTGTTCACCTCTATTTGATTACCGAGCCAAACACAGTGTAATATGGAGTGAAATGAATAATCGCTATTACTATATCGTTGAAATGCTCACTGAAATGACATTTTCCACTTCTGTTCCCTATACCTGGCACTGGCGCGGTATTAGCTATCAGGGCTGACACCGGTTGTATTTATATTGAAACTACAATTCGAACATTCTTGAAAATCAAATAAACCTGATCTGCGAATGCTTCCACCACACGGATTATTTGTTGCATTGCACACATATGGCACAGCATCTACTTTTCGGGTATAGTATTTTGAATTCGTGCAAGGTATTATGATAATCTTTCAAGTAATTCACATTGGTGTTTCATTCGGATCGAAAGTGACTTAATTTGATTCACAAATTTTGCTTTCGCTTGGCTCCGCTATGCAAAATTCGATTGTCACACAGTGTCACTTTTGATCCTAATAATTAAATATACTATTCTCAGATATACGTTTTGTGATATCATTGAAATAACGTGTATGGGACGTTGCATCAATAATGGAATCAATATTATTAGATAATATTGTAATATTTTGATTTTATAGGTCGTTCAGATATATCACAGACAGAGTTGTTATGTTATTTTTACTAAATTTCGTTTCACCACCTCATAACGTACCTCAGATGTATACACAGGATACAAGATTATAAGGGGATATTTTTTTTTCTACGGCAAAGTAACCTTGTCAACTTTCAAAAGTCAATTCAATTCCATTCCAGTCATTTTGTTTGTTGTCTATTGTGAACAGGTCAATCAGTGTGATCAGTATTCGTAGTTATCAGACTGGGTTAAGAACTAAACTACACTACACAGTACACTACAACCCCAGACTTACTACACGTTCTTAGTTATTCCCAGAATCTCTGAGTCACTATGTTGCTTGGAAAATGAACCAGACTATTCGTATGCTCTTTGCGGCGAATTATCATTAGAGATGAAAATTATTTCTCCACTTTTGAATAAAATGAACAGAAACTGTAATGTTAAATTAGATTCCCAACTTTTGAAATGACCTCGTATAATCACTGAGAATTTGAAAATGGTAAATAAAGCATAAATAATTCACTAAGAATGTATTCTTCATCTAGTTATATACAACAAATAACAAAAAACATATCCTGACTAAACTAAATCAATGACACCATCATCAATGTGTTCCGTGCCAACTTCAAAATCTTTGGTTCCAGTTATAGAATAACTCCCTTCTCGAGTAAATGGCCAAATAACAAATAAATAAATAAACAACTCAACAACAACTTATTTACATTCTGAGCTAAATAGAATAAATAACAGATTCGAAACAACTGGGCCCTTAAAGTTTATGTAGGAATGTCATGAAAAAATCATTCACTTGCACTAGGGTAATTTTCATACTTCCATGAGTTTATGTAGTATATTTCCTATTTTCTCTATGCTGTCACCACCCAGTATGCTTCGATGATTACCCTTCAAAGCTTCAACAGTCACTTTTTGAGTGCAAATCTGAAAAAAGATGAATGCGAATGAGTATACTGTACATATGCAGGATGTTCCACGAGGAGATGGACACATACTTGATTCAAGGGTAGATAACATATCTGGGAGTTTGAATAACCTTCAAGATATCGTTTCCCCACTTTTTTTGCCCCACTTTAATCGCCCCCCTCCTCCTCTATATGTCAACTATTGGTTGTACGATTAGGACTGATATAAATAATCATCAATATAATCTATTTTTCAGACACAAACATCAATATTGACAGTGCCGTGCTTCTTTATTGAAATAAAAAGAGTCGTTGTTCAACTTCAAAGTATTGTTCCTCATGCTTCCGAATGTCCATATGCAAAAATTCGACTAATTTCAAATTACCAGGACTTACTTAATTCTTAAATTTTTTGCCTCGAAAAATAATGAATTCCGATTAATTGCAAATTTTAGAACATTCTATAGCTTCTACATGTTTTGAAAAAAACAACAAAGAATAATTTGTTTTGTTGAACTCACTGTTTCCGAGTAAATAATGATTTACCTTCGCAAAAATGCTGTTTAGATATGCATGTCATTTTGAAACTCTCCATAGGGATTACATAAAAATTTAGACATGGGGGTTCAAAACCATGAATATTATAAGGTTAGTTTTCCCGTGAAAATATGCCTATTATGATTTCATGAAAAATCAACCACATTTTATTTCAAGAAAAACTGTCCAAAATGATATTTACCTCTGAAAAATTGACTATATCGATAGCTTTTTCTACCAGTCCAAATTTGGCAAGAATCATACGAATAATAGGTGGGATATAGAAGGATGATTTCAGTTGAGATCTACAGATTGTTTGTCGATAGTTACATACATACAGGGTGTCCCTTTGAAAACGAAAAAGAGGCTTTGTAGGTCGCCAAAACCGGATTATGAAAAAAATCTGAAACACTTCAACTACATTTTCGAAGGGGACATCGTTCTCAATTATTTTCAGCTCTGCGACGTTGCCGCTTCTAACGAAAAGTAGCAGCAACTTTGTTATTTCAAACGGAACACCCTGTATTTCATTGCATTTTTAGAGTCTCCCCAAAGAGCTGAGTTCATCAATGCATCATATTTGGAATTTCAAAATTTGTTAAAAAAATGGAGGGAAAAGTTGCAAGTCACATTTCTCACATTCTTTGAATAAAATTTTCTGAATTTGAGAATTTGCATTATCCTCCAGACAAAAATATTTATGCACATATTACCCTTCTGGATATTCAACATAGAACAACTACTTTCCTGGCTATTTGCCACGTCAAAGATTGAATTATATCAATTGAACATCCAATAGGAGAACATAAAAATAAAAATCCACAGAAATTGGGAATTGACATTCTCTTTCAAATCGAACAAATAATATGAATGCAAATTCTCAACTTCAGAAGATTTCATTCCCAAATTCTTATCGTGTGTTTCGTAATGTTCGTCGTGGCATGTAGCCAGAAAAGTAGTTGTTTTCTGCTGAATATACCGAGGAAAAATTAATATTTTCATCACATAGAAAATGCGAATTCTCAATATATGTCTTCATACATACATATCAATTTTGTTTCAGTTTTATATATCTGAGAATATTACTTTTCAATAATTCCATATACCCTACCAAGGCGTTTAAACTTGACTTTTTATAGACCTCTAATCGCAGATTCGTGAATGGGATTTTTTCTCAGTTCAGAATTTCTTTCCACGTTCTGTATAAAGTAATATCAATTTGTCATGCATCCAGAAACAAATTGGTAAGTGAACTTACGTCGGATAATCCATAGTCATCACCCATTTGCACATAGTTATCAATAGCTTTCACCAATGTGACTTTTCCATTGAACTTTCCTGATGGTACGTATGTATCACCCGCTGACAATTTACCATAAAAACTAGTAGCTGCAGCCGAAATATCTTCTGGTTTATAGGAGGTGACACCAGCAACCAACTCAACAGTTTTCGCAAGTCGTTCATCCCATGACTTCAAGGCCATTAGTTCAGATGCAACCTGAAAAAATACTGAATACTTAGTAACGCGATCTATATATGAATAACTAGAAATTGAAAATTCTCAAAATTCGTAGGTTCGGTGAAGCAAACATAGAGAATCGAGCTAAAATACTTTCGTGTTCGTGAAGCTTTCGGTTTTTCCGGAAATGACGTCATCTTTGTAATGTTCAATAAAACAATCATCAATTTTATCGTAGAAGTTCAATGCGCAAGTGAAATTCGAAATTCTGAAGATTAGCCAGTAAATGATTGCGGATATTTCTCGTATTATCGGAAGAAATGGTATAGAGGAAACATGTTTGGAACACAATTTTTAACTTTATTTGGACTAGTTAGGAGGTGAACTTATCGAAAGTCCCCCACGTTTTGCTACAAGTTTCATTCAGTCAAGTTCTCGAGATATCTACTCTTGAAGTTTTCTGATTTTGCACCGAAAAACGGAATACTGGCCATAGGGTTGTTGAACATCGAATTATTCTCAATAATATACGAGGTGCTTTCACAATGAGTACATTTATTCAGCAAATCAATAGAATACGAAGCCTGATCATGAAAATTGAACAAAAAACGAAGAAAAATCAAGCACGCATACTTTGATAGTTAGGTATTTATTATACAATGGAAAAAGTAGTAGAATTCAGCTCCAGGTTGTGTTGTTCTCCAGACGCGTAGCGGAGGAAGACAAAAAACCGTGAGCTAAAATCTAAAATTTTTCCCGTACACTATATTTTTTTGTGACAGGAAAAAAGACGAATCAATATTGGGAAGATATTACATTATATTAAAAGCAGAAAATTATCGACGTTAAAGTTGAGGTTTTCAACAGGATTGACACCTGCGTTGCAGGTATCTTCATCATTCTTTTTGAAGTAATCAAATATTTGTCAGCCTAATTCTGTGATTAGATTTTTGAAAATTACGAATTTAGTAGTTGTTTAGTAATTTACGAAACCGCCAAGTCGAATGGGAAAAAAATAATTTAGGAAGTGACATTTTATAACCAGTCAACAGAAATGCAATTTCAAACGTTTTTCGTCACAGAAAAAATAATTCAATCAATGAACGAGCGTGATTGTACCTTTTCGCACGGAAATTTGACAAGAGGTGACGTCAGAATCAAATACTTTTTGTATGATATCTTCAATCGGTAGGCCTTATTATTAATTATTGTATCCTAATTGTTTGCGCTAGTGGTGAGAAATTCTTGCAAGAATGGTTTGAAATCGTCATTATTGTGAAATGGCTGATTCAAGTTTAGATTTCCCAAGTGATCAGATTTGTGGTCCTCACCACACATAGAGTGTATGTCCTACTTGAAGTGTAAACACCCTCGTATTTGAGAGTGAAATTACTCAAAACGATTATTTTTTTATTGTATTCCTACAAAAGACATCAGATTATCTATGAACTTCTGATGAAACTAATATTCTGAGTATCTTCAAGAGCAAATGGGAAGTGCAACCAGTTCTCAGAATGAAATAATGCCTAATACGGTTTCCTGATCTCGCAAATTTCAATTAGGCAAATTTTCACGAAATTGATCTCATTTTCAAATTGATCCCAAATCCTGCCAAAATGAAGCTCACCTTTTGTGGATCAAAATCCTTGAATTGAAGTATGAAATAGACCAGCACATCAGTTTGCTCAGCTGAACTGTTTTTTTCGTACTTAGACCTTGCTTTTCCAGTATGAGTAGCAACATACGAGTGAGAACCATCCAGAAGTAAAAGCTTCACTTTCTCTCCATTCTTCTCAAGCCAAACTCCCATTTCTAAAGCAACGCAAGCTCCAAACGAGTAACCAATAAGCGTGTAAGGTCCTTTAGATTGTACAGTTCGGATTTGGGTGATATAGTATTTTGCTAAGTCAGCTATCGAAGTTACAGGAGTGGTTGCTGTACATTGGAGACCATACACAGGAGCATCAATGATTTTTGCTAAATTTTCAAGAGCTTTGACTACACCTTCAATAGGGTGGAGCATGAATACAGGTTTCGTTTTTGTGTCAGTGGATTTACTCGTCATCCGAATCAAACTTTTCGTAGGGATTATTTCAGTGGTCTGGTCAAACTGAACATTATTGTTTTGTGGTTCTGAAGTGAGATTGGGTGCGGGAGTTGCTCCACCGGAACTGAGTTCCATGAGACGACCAAAAGTGAGTGCTCTTATTTCCTGAGCACTGAGCACTAAATCATAATTACGTTCTAGGGTTTGTTTTATCTCAGCGCCCATAAGTGAGTCCATACCTGAAAATCAAGATATATGTGTGAGTACCTGAGGTCAATGTATACATAATTCTAGTTGATGAACATCATAAATAATGATTGTGACCCTTTTCAAATTTGTAAATTTCCTAATATTCTGAAAATTGATATTCTTCACATGTTGGGCTGACCTAACCAATTCTTCACTGTGATCGGAAAAATTATAGATATTAATAGTTTTAATCAAAACCATCTATTCCCATTGGACCACTATTTACGAATTCTGAAATCAACAGACATAAAGTCGGTCGACCACCAAAACTGTCATCGTAACAGTGGCTCACTTTCTGTTCTGAATTCATTTTGTGATCGACCGACTTTGAATTCCAGTTCTAGTTGCTAAACTAACACGATCATTATTATTGCTCATATAAAATGAGAATGACTCATATCTGAATGGGATCTTGTAAAAATCAATAATTTTTCATGAAGAACTATAATCTACCCATATGAACCCATCTGATATAAAAATACAGTTGAAGTGAATGGATTACAATAGGATTTTCTTAACTAACCATATTAATTTGTTCGAGATATAATGGAAATTATTTAAGAAAAAAGTGCACCCTTTGATTTTAGGCGAAGTCCTGACAAAGTTCAAAAAACCATCGTCCTAATGAGTAATAACCAATAGTGGAATAGAAACGTGAATGATCGGTGGAATATTTTCATCAACATCGTTATTTGAGTTTTTATTCTATATTTTCGGCTATATTGGTATGAGAAAACTCATCAATTGTACAGATTGTTCGCCCAATCGTTACATATAGGGCATGTGAATGGCAACAAGATTAGGCTATCGTACTTCTTAGCTAAAGTTCCCGCTCGAATATGTAAAAAGAATCGAAACTGAAATTCATTATGCGCCATACTGTCTTAACGGTCAGCGTTGCTATCCGTGACTGCAATTTTTTCAATTGCCATCCTTCCTCAATAGATACTCCTATATGTGACGATGCGATGAACAATCTGTATATTCTTGAGTGAAGTATTTCGTTCTCACCCATATCAGCCAAGGTGGCAGAAGGCGTCACAGTTGAGGCATCCTTGATACCCAGAATATTTCCCACTGCATCTGTCAAACTAACTTGTGCACCACCTCCAGCACCTTTCTTCTTTTCAGCTAACACCATACTGGCCACTACAGAATGTGGTTGTTGAAGGAAAACGTCCATTGTTGTGAGGCATGACGACATCCTTTGAGGTAAAGTACCTCCTACCTCAGTATCATTGCCACCCATTGTCTCCAAGATGAGACCCACATCCCCAATGGCGCCCCATTGGATTGCAATGCCAGGTAGACCAACAGCTTGACGAGATTCGACGATACGTTCCATAGCTGAATTGGCAAGACCATAGTTGGATTGTCCAGCGTTTCCTGGAAGAGAAGAACAACATAAAAACATTGTCAAAAAATTCGATGTATATCAATGATATCATTAGAAATTCAAATATTCATGATAATACGAAAGGAATTTTCAGTCTGTTGTGAGTGGAACTTATAAGAGCTTACTTTTTGAAACAAATCTCCCTCTATTCCCTTAAGCAAATCAGGAAAAACAAATCGTCTTTAGGACTTCCTGGAATCATTTTCATCACTAGGTATCTACCTACTGAGTTCCCTAACAAATGAAACATAAAACAAGTGTTGATTCCGAATGGAATTTGCTGTTGGCTACCAGCCGGAAAAAGATGATATCACCTATAGCATATCGTGACAATTGTTGAAACGCAATATCAATATTTTTCTATCATTGAATTAGGGTATATTACTCAAAAAACTAACCTCTACCACAGGAAACAGATGAGAAGTTGACGAAATAATCCAAATGAGGAGTAACAAGTCTGGAAGCGGTATCCAGCATTTTACTACCATCAACCTTCGGTTTACAAACTGTTTTGAAATCAGCTTCGGATTGGTTTTCCATCATAGCATCCCTCAAAACAGCGGCTAAATTGAAAATACCTCCAACAGGACCCATTGCATTTGCTTCATCTAATAGTTTCCTAGCACCCTTTTCAGTAGTAGCATCAGATGTTGAAATATGTACCTTGACCCCTCTCTCCCTCCATCTTCTAATACACAAGGATTGATAACCAGTTTTCATACCACTCCTGGAAGTGAGGACTATTTTAGTAGCTCCTCTGGTTATTAGCCAATTAGCTAATTCCAAACCAAAACCACCAAGGCCTCCTACCAGAATGTAACTTTTTTCTGGGTCCATGTATGTACGAGGAATAGCATTCACAGTCTTCATAGCAGGACGTTGGGCTTTCCTACTTTCTTCGTCTCTGATTTTCAGTAGAACTTTACCAATATGCTTCCCAGAAGCCATAAATCTGAAGGCTTGTTCGACTTGTTGTTCATTGTATACTGTCCTAGGAAGAGGTTGAACGGCACCATTTTTAATTCCTTCTGTCACTAATTGCATTACAAGTTTCTTTTCATTACTATCAGAGTCGAATAGTGCATCAAGAAGGATACCATGAAACGTTGTATTCTTGAGGAAGATGCTCATACCAAGTGGGGAATTATTGGACAGATCCACCTTTCCAATTTCTAAGAATCGCCCACCAATGGCTAAGCACCTAACCGAAGCTTGTAACTGATGAGCAGCTAGAGAGTTCAGAACACAGTCGACACCTTTACCCTTAGTCTGGGTCAAGACCATTTGTTCGAAAGAAGTGTCCCTTGAGTTTCCAATATGTTCATCTTTGAGTTGGGGAAATGTTTTCTTGAGGAAATCCCGTTTAGATTGGCTACTGACTGTAGTGAAGACAGTGCATCCTAGGTGTAGAGCAATGGCAATGGAAGCTTGACCAACTCCACCAGTACCAGCGTGCACCAGGAGAGATTCACCGGGTTTCAGACCACCTCTTACTATTAGGGCATAGTAGCTCTGAAACAAATCACATCTTGTGTAAAAACATAATATGTGCAATAATTCATACATCCGAAATAATTGACGACTCTATTCGAGAAATGATTATTGTTGTTTAATTTCAGATACCTAATCTAAATTAGCATTTTTTTTCAATCTGCAGTGAACATCAGAAGATACTCCAATAAGGCAAGTAGGTACTCTGGTTTTAGATAACATGGCGCTCTTATAATTGCAGTAGTCATTTAGAGAGGTGAAACCTTCCACATGTATCAACTATTACTCAATCTAACATCAAAAGAATGAATTATCCTATTCTATTTGAAGCAGCAACACCCTTGTATGTTATATATTATGTGTTATAGAGATGACAGCTAGAGAGCGTAAAAGGTAGAAATGTTGGGAGCAGGAAAAGGGAATCAGTGTGGAGAAGAACGTGAATAAAGGTATTTCAAATTAAACATATAAAGTATTGATTTCCATATCAGTCCAATACAACAGATAATCACCCATTAAACTACAATTGGCGACAAGGATTGTGCACACTGAAATACATTTCCTTTGAATTAATTCACGAAAAGTGAATCACGTGTGAGCATATAAAATATGCTGAAAGTACCGACACAAGCGGCACAATAATCACGTCCAGTTGGACAATTGATACGAGAATTCGGTCACATAAATTCGGATTGGGAGATTTTCAAAAGAAGAATCGAAAACTACGTCGAGGCCAATGCAATTCTAGACAGAAAGCGCATAAGAGTAATATCATTTTCCGTCGACCTCGTATTAACGACTAAGTTTAATGTATATGAAATCGTTCATTAATGACCCCTATTAATGGACGATTTGTCTATTAATGCACGATTGTTTTATAGGCAACCAAACATACACCGCGTGCATTCATTGTTTATGCTATAACTAGCGGAATCTGCATTTAAATCGAAAATATGGATTTCATCGACGATTTTCCGTTAACGGGTTCGCCTTTCCAAGTTTCTGACACGATTTTAATCCCTGTTTTTTAACAGAAGGAATTTATTTCCTATGTTGATCATTTCGACAAATGTCAAATGACACTTATGTCAGTAACAAGGCTACTGGGTGATTCTTAGCAGTTTCCGGATGGATGATGAATTCGCGAACCAAGTTTTCTTCATTGCAGGAGAAATAAGAAACATAGTCGACGGAAAAATTTTGTAACCAACTTGTATATTAAAAGGCGATTAATGATCTCGAACATTAACGCACTCGCTTCGCTCGCACGTTAAAATATCTCGATCATTAATCGTCCTCATTAATACACTAGTTGGTTAAATAACTATAAATGCGTTATGTGAAGCTGCATACATATATTAGTGCACCATTCATGGTTACTAGTTTAACCTGAGGCAAAAACTTTCACAAATAATGACTGGATATTTCGAATCAAGCTTATTATCTTCAGCAAGACCGCGTCATTTTGATGCAAACCAACTGCAGATGGTTTTACGGGATGTGTTCATAATCGGTTATGATAAAAGGCCAGTCCAAGATCGTTTTCTTGAGAAAAAATTACAGCACATTTTCAAAATTTAGTTGCGAACATTTTCATCAAACAGGAACCAGGAATTCACTATGCAAATATTGGACACCATGTTGGTAGGAGTAAGAGATATCAAGGTAATAACGCGCAAGATCGAAGGAATGGACCCAAAGGAACTAGCAGCAGAGGAGCTCCAAGTTCCGACCCCTCCAAAACGTCATCGTCAGGTCCAAAGTGCAGCGTTTGCGGTCGCAGAACACGATAAAGCTCGTGCTCGTTCTACGAATGTTTTTTGCAATAACCGCGAAAAAAAGGGTAATTTGTCGTCAATGTGTCCAGATAAAAATGTAAGTAGCCGAAGCAGAAATATCCAATATTTTTGGAATCAGCTAATGCTTCTTTGTTTTGTTTAGATTTCAAGGTGAAGCCGATAGAAATCGATTTATTGATAGAAAATAACCCGTATTTCTACACTGGATACAGGGGGTATAGTTACAGCGTTATTTCTGAACAATTTTATATAAATAATTTGTGTCACAAAATGCTAGCACCGACTAGGAGACTTTCAATTCATAAAACGGATATAAAATAACTCCCATTGGTATTATAAACTGTAGACTAACATTCCAAAATAGAATGCCAGAGATGAATTATTATGCCATTGAAAATGCGTCGGGACCTTCATCATTGGGACGTGATTTTTTTAATCTTTTCGATTTGTTATATCAAATCCTAGGTTCATGAAAATGCTGGATGATAAAATTGGAAAAACAAAGATATTTTTCCACCCGGGCTGTGTTTTTTTACCAAAGGAGTAATTTCGATTAAACTGAAATATGGAATGGTGAGACCAGAATTCTCAAGGCACTGGCCATGACCTTACCTTATTCAATTAAACAAAAACTTGAAGTAGAACTAGAAAGGTTAGAAGCAGTAAGAGTAATCAAGCCCGTTGATTATTTTGAGTGAGGCACACTCATTGTTTCCGTTTCAATACCTGATCTGTTAGGAAGTGGAGATTTGTGACAGTAAACCATCCCATAGAGATAGATAAGTACTTGCTTCCAAGAATGGGAGAATTATTGGTGAAATTACAAGGCGAATATGAATATCGAAATTGGATTTATCATTTGCTAATCAACGTCTGGATAAAAATCTTAGGAATTGGTCACAATTTCTACACATACACTGAGGGACTGTTCCGATATATCAGTGTACCGTTTGGCATTTCGAGCCTACCGGCAAAATTTCAACAGAAAATGGATTCACTCCTTCAAGATATTGAAGGAACCATAGTGTTTTTGGATGATATCCTCGTGACATGGTGTGATCGAAAACAGCATGTCAATAGATTAACATAGTGTTATGACAAATTGATATTCATCATACAGGGCGTGAATGAAAAATTCTGAACTGAGGAAACCCAATCACCAATCGGCGATTAGAGGTCTATAAAAATAACAAGTTTCCATCGTTCAAGTTTGAACCTCTTGATTGGGTATGAAAGTATTGAAAAGGAATATTCTCAGATTTATTATAAATATGGAAAATGGATATATATATAAAGAAATACATTGAAAATTCGCATTCTCTTTGTGATGAAATCAGCTCTTCATCGGTATAATCAGCAGAAAACAACTACTTTCCTGACTATATGACACGACGAAAACTGTCTTCAATCAGAAATTGCGAACAAGATTTGAGTTGTTGAAACCGTCCAGCAAAAATACTCACCCTAAGTATACGATAGAAAAAGAGGAAGAATCGTATCTTTTCATAGCAGGAGAAACAAAAATACTATCATATTTAGGATCGAAGGTATTATTCCAAAAGAAATGAGTTATTCAACGTACCTCGTCAAGATTCTGGAATTAAGTAATATTGTTTGGAGAAGACATCTGAATAAAATCAGGAAGTATAATTTTCTCAAGTGAATTTCGATAAAAAAACAAAGAAGATAGCGAAATAATATCCATTCTTAACCTGGAACCTCCGACCAAAATATAGTCAGGTTTATGTAGAATTTATACAATAAGAGATACGTGAGTTCAGTGTGATATTCCTTATTATCAATGTAGTAGACAAAAGCGCGAGAGAAAACAAGTTGAGAGACCAGTTTACACAAAAATGTAATTTCCTGTAAATATTATTTCATTGTTTCATTTTTAATGAAGAGGTGATTTTTTTCAAGGGGGCGATATATTGCAGAGTGGAGCAATAGTGCACCTAATATAATCTAGAGAGTCGGGTGCACTACCTTCAAATGGAATGCCATTTATTCAAGCATATTCCCTGAAGCATCCCTATGATATCATTGACTTTGTCTCGATCATTTCAGAGTTACGAATTTGTTTGTCCAAATAATGTAATCTGCAGATGCATACCAAAAAAATCGCTGTCGTCGCAATTATAAAATGTAAGAGGAGATTATACTTCATCATCATTTGATAGGCAGATACGTGATATTTCTGGAGATTTTCCATGCCCTCAAATCATACAGGATGGTTGTGAATGATTTCAATTCCGAACTTTTTGAAGTGATTTATCTCGAGTTTTTCAAATTGAACACCCCAATATATATACTTTATCCATGTGATACAAAATTGACAGACGAATTTCTTTTATATTCACACCCATATGGATATTCCTAACCATTTCCGAATTATAGAACTTCGAAAATTATATAAATGCAGGGTATCCGGAAAGGTCATGTCGTAAATGATAGGGCTGATAAAGTGAGCCAAAATAATGTTAGTATTTCATATTAAAAAATTTCTATCGCGATTCGTTATTGACCTTGAAATTTAGAATGAAAAAAATAATTCCATGTATAACTTTCAAACGGTTGCTTTGGTATCATTAATATTCGTAGGTCAATAAGATAATGCTTCTTTCCATACGTGAACGGTTTTTCGGTGGAATGTTTCTAAATGCGTTTTTTTCTAGATCGGTACAAAATATCTATTGAAATAAATAATACCATTTTAGTATACTATTTTTGTAGAAGAAGATGAAGGGATCAAACGATGAAGAGAAAATGTCAAATTTGTCACATTTGTCAAAAATGTTTTCATTAGGCGAAAAAAATGTGTCCCATCCTATATAGAAAAGCCGTTTACGTTTGAAAGATATACATGATTTTATTTTTATTCTAATTTTCGAGGTCAATAACTCCGTAACGTAGCGCGATATTTTTTATATGAAGTACTAACATTATTTTGACTCACTCTATCAGCCTCATCATTAACGACATGGACCTTTATGGCCACCCGGAATATTATATTGTAGAACATGTGATGAAGCCGCATTTCTCCGATGGTACCTTGATTGGACCTGTTTATTTGGACTCCTTTTATTGTATTTTCTTATTCATGAATCTATCTTGAAATGGGGTCCTTCCGAATTCTCTCAATACTAGGAATTTCTAAACGGTTTGCAAATTCGTTATCAGAAACTCCTAAAACGGTCGTATTTCCAATTTCCATTTCTTGTCATACCTACTTCATCATACTTCAATATTTTTATTGAAATCGTAGTTTTTTTCAATAATATTATCACATAAATTACCATACAGTTCATCAATTATCATCATATTCCATTCAACGATATTTTGCCCTTTCGGCAAAGTTCAGGAAGGGCTTATAACTGGAGTATGTTTGACATGGAAAATTCAAATTTTCAATGTGCCAACAATTTTGTGTTGAAGTATCACTGTTCAAATCTCAATAATAAGTCAGTGTACAAAAAAAATTCATGGGGAGTATCATTCAATGAATTAACAGTCAAATTGGATGTTTGAATATTCAAACGTTTCATCAGTGTTGCAACTACTTTTTAGGTTTGTTTAAGTTTATATTTTATAGTTTCCATTGATATATTTTTCAACAAGAATGAATGTATGCCTAACAACACAGGAATGTCCTAGGTACGTCTCTTTCTTGTCCCGCAGTACAAGGACATGTTTGGGGCATCCAGAGGATGTCCCGCAGTGGTTGTCCAGTGGACATCCCGCCCGGTACATCTCTAGGTTATCCTATTCGTGTCCCTGGAATATCTGATATCCATGCATTCACATCAGAGTCATTGAATTTCATCAAAATATTGAGTTGAATTTTCTTGAAAATGTTTGTTTTTCTTCCGGAAAATAATTGTAATGAGAATAAATAATATAGTCTCAGAACTTCTTAAGAAATTACCATTTTTTGCCAAACAGAAATGCATAATGCCCCTCATTTTCAAACATCCAAGAATGATAATAATTATACATGAAATCCTAACAAAGTTGTATTTATTCAGGTTTCAGTTCTGTACTGTTTATAATTCTGTTTAGTATATAAATCTTCAGAAGGCATATTAGCCAATAGAGTAAGGTGTGTGCCTGATAAGATGAAGGTTCCGGGTTCAATCTCTACTCGACTTACACTTTCTTTTCTTTTGTCGAAGGGATGTCCCTGGATTATCCTTGGGACGTCCTAGGGATATACTTCCTTCGTACTTGGTACATCCCAGGGACGTACAAGAAGAACATCCCTTGGATGTCCTTTTTGTCAGAAAGTGGATTTCCCTGGGACGTCCCTAGTATGTACTTTATCCCGATAAAGGATATCTCTGGGATGTCCTGGTATGAAGTTAGGAACGTCTCTAGGAAGTCCCTAGGATTTACTTGTGATTTCAGGTATTGAATAATGAGAATAATATAATTGTTCATCATAACAGCTTCATAAAGTTCCGTATCTGTTGTTTTAAAGCACTCCAAACAACGCGGTTTACAAAATAGTATCTTATCAAACTTGCATATTGATATTTCGTTTTCCTGATGAGTGATATATATTTTAGGTTCATTGAGCAGTGACCCTACTACTATTCACCGAATCAATTATCATATAATATAATATAACATTACTTACTGTCCCATAAACCACAGGAATAGTCGCAGCTTCCTCAAGACTCCACTTCTCAGGTACTTCCCACAGGAACCCTGGATCAGCTAGCACCGTTGTTGCCAAACTTTTTGCAGCCACCATTCCCATCACCCTCCTACCGCTCGAATCCCGTCCAGAGAATTCGAGTCCCAATATACAGTCTTGACCTGCAAGGTCACCAGGAAGGGCATCCGGCGGTAATTTTCCAGTGGCCAACATAATGTCACGGAAGTTGAGAGGTGCATAATAGACGTGACAGAGTTCATTGTGAGCATCTTCATCCCTGCAACAAGAAAGACGTATAAAGGGCATACCTGGTGTAAAAAAGTCACAAAATGAATCATATTACTTTCCAGTTAGTGAAAGTGTTTTGATATAATTCGGGAAGTACACCCCAGCAAACATGTATCGCGCGGGCCTTCAGACGCACTCCAAAAACTGGCAAAAGGCAACATTAGCAGGCCACAATCATATGATACATCGTCGGTCCGGCTAGCCCGTGTCGCACCACCCGCTAGTAAGCCGCCGGACTATCTGCCGACACTATTCAGTTAGAAATAAATAAAAGATATAGCCGGGAGTCGGACTCGAACCAACGCTCGATCGGATAGATCCTATCCACTGTCAGAAGCACTAGGGTACTCCGGAACTTGACAGATTTTATTAGGAATTCATGAGCCAACAGAATTGGAATAGTACGAGGCTTTAATTATATTTGATATGAGATCATGCGATTTACCTATCATAACTTAGTTGATTTGGAGACGTAGAATAGGTGTAGCCTGATAATGTTACAGCCACATTACTTTTCCAGTTTTTGATCTATTACTGTGAATCAAATATTTGACGAATATATAGGTGAAGAACTGAACTTCGCATTGGTGCATTATTGTTATAATATAGGTGATTTTATTTATATAATGGAGTTTGTCTACAGCGTCGAATCGACAGCGACACGATTGTGACATATCTACAACGGTCAATTACGGGATGGATGATAAACAAACATAATGAATAAGCGTACATCGAGCTGTGGTGGCACAAGCAATGTCATTCAAACATCTTGCCGGTTGCCGCTGCCGACACATATCCGCTGCTGACAGCGATGGGCTGGCTATTTACCACCTATTCATGTTTACTGGGACATGTCATTGTGTTTTATGTGTATGATGTATCAGATGTATATTGAACACTCACTTGTAATATCCTAGAGGTCCTTCAATCCACCTCAAACTTGCCAAATCTCCCCTAGTCAGTGTATTGATGTACGAATGTTCAACTTGCAATTTCCCGCTGTCTTCAAATTGTTCTAACATGATGTGTCGATAACAACCCCAAGTCTTGTTTTTTAGTACATTGTGAACGAGATCTTTCTTCAGCTGACTTTCATATGCGGCAATGCTGAATTGAGGTTCATTAGTGTCTTGGATAAAAACGGATCTCAGGTTAGATCCTCCTGGTTCTTGTTTTAGACAGTTGACCATGCCAATGAGACCAGTTAGTTCCTCTCCTTGAACGTACAGATAAATTTTACGGCCATCATTTTCTGCTTGTTTCATGACTTCCTGAAAAAAAAAACTTCTTTTATGCTTGAATTTTTTTGAAAATTTTCTCGTTTGAATCAACATTTTCATAAATAATATAATTTTCTCTTATTGAACGCTAGTTCCTTATTTTCTGGCGAATTGCGTTTATTGCACTCATTTGTTCTTACCTTGAGAGGTTCAACCCAACTGAAGTTTTTGTCTGTAATTTGAATGATGCTAGCATCTGATGGCGGAGCAATGGGCTTACGTAGGAGTAAATAAAGTTTGGTATCAGTCAATTGCTTACTGACAACTTCCAAATCACTTATTTTCTTTATATCTATAGGGCCCTTAATTTCTTCTAATAAGATGAACCCGCCAGGTTTCAGAGAAGCTACTGCATTATTCAGAACATTCTTTTTGTCATACATCAATACGTCACTTGCTACAACTAAATGAGTATCTTGAGCAATGGGGTTTGTGTTCACGTCTCGTATCACATGTTTGATATCATTGGCTTCCAATAATGATGTATCGACTGGTCCTGCTGTTACCACAGTAACTTCGGTTGACATCATAGGCTCAGATTCTACTATATTCTTGATAATAGGAGCAAGGACTGATTCTATTGGTTTATCTGTACCTACTTCAACCACTTTAAGCTTGAGTGCTCCAGAACTGTTTTCCAATACAGTTTGTAAAATTACAGTGAGAGCTTGTGTCTTAGCTTTGTCAGAGTCTTCAACCAATGGTTGAGTGTTTTCATATGGTACAAATTGATATTTTTCTAGTTTAGGTGATGCTTGTGCTTGTTGACGACGTGGTGCTAGACTGGCTTTCATTCCGCGTAATTCAATACCTGCCGACTTAATGACGCCTATATCGCGATACATACTGACTGGGATGTCTGAAAACATAATGTCATATGAAATTCATGAAATTAATAGTTATTTATTATACAAGGGAAAAAACTAGTACATTTTAGCTCGGGGTTGTATTGACCCAAAGCCGTGAGCTAATATACAATATTTTTCCCTTGTATAATGCACTATTTTTTCTGTGACAAGAAAAAGGTCGAATAAATATTGAGAATTCATTATATTATATCAGAATCAGAAGATCGTCAACGGGAAATTTGAAGTGTTTAACAGGAATCACACCTACGTTGCAGGCATCTTTTTGCAGGCATCTTTATCGTTCTTTTGAAGTGATTAGATCTGGCAGTCTAATTCTGTTATTTTATTTCAAGAAATTGCGAGCTCAAAGGTTTTTTAGTATTTCACAAAAGCCATGTGTATATATGTATAAATATATCTATCCCAGGAAAGGGTACTCACTTTTTTTCCGTGGAATAATAGTTATTTGTGTTACTAGGTTTACTAGGCAGAAAAGTAGTGAATTGACTGCCGCGACTGATAGTTCATAGACGTGCGTAGAGAGGCTATATAGGAATTCTTTATACAGTATGATGCAAATGTATGGAATAAATTCATTATTTCAGAAATGGGCGACATTTGAAAAAAATTCCAAGGACAAGTGAGGTTTCATTTTTGAAGCCTCATCTCATGATATCCATATGAGAGATGTTACTCACCGGTGTTGGAGTAATGACGTGATGAACGATTTTTTCAAATGAAAACAGGGGTCATGTGACACCTCGTTTGGAAGGTCTACTGATCGTCTATTCAACAGTCAAAATTTTGCATAAGAAAATTGAAATCAAAATGGATTATCATTTGATTAACTGAATCTTGCAGAGGTCTACTACTGAGAATTGAACAACGAAGGGTCGTCTATTTGAAAAAATAAATCAATAAATAAAGTTCTGAAGTCTAGTTTTTGGATTTTTTTCGGAAGTCGTCTTGTTTTGGAATGAATTTATTCCATACATTTGCATCATACTGTATAATAATTCGTTCTCTAGATGTTATAAAACCGATTTTGTGTAATTTTTTTTATTAAAACTCTATCATTTTGTGTTCACCCAATGTCAGTGTCAATTTTGATTACCAATTTTATTAAAATTTCTTAGAACGTTGCTTAGCAAAAAACCATGCCTAGGCAGAGAAAGTGATCCTTTCCTGCCTGTTGAGTGTCAGAGAAATGCCACTTTCCCTGTTGCTCAGAGAAAAAAGTAATTTATAAAAGTTACATCTTATGATCTGTTAATAGAGATGAAATATCGAATGTTCTTCCCGTCACAGAAAAAAAAACACTTCATCTCTTACCTTCTCCTTCGGTGAGTTGCTGAATGGCATGTAAGTGTTCTTTAGGATTTATGAAAGCTCTTTGTAACCTAGTTGGCAAGTACAGCTCCCTGGTATTCTGTCCAAGAATGGAGAATTGCAGCATAGTATCGATAAAGCTGATCCAATTATTCTCCCATTTGAGTTTTCCATTGATACCATGATTATCTGATTCACTTATTCCTCTGAATATACCTTCATAATCATATCCACGAAGTCTCAATTCTTTGTAGACATCAGCGGTAGTCAAATTCAATACATCTTTTTCTGATTTGGAATTTAATTTGGGTAAATTCAAAGTCTCTTTGGTGACATCTTCTGGTACCGAGATAAAACCGGAAACAGCCACTGAACCTCCTTCACAGAGTTCAAATGCTCCGGTTCCTTCAAATATATTTATCAAAAACTTGACGGAGCCTTCTTTCGGCATGATAGTGGCTCTATGGAACTGTACATCTGACAAAATAACAGGCAATTGTTCAAAATCTGCGTTTCTTAATTTGGCAAACGTTTTCCAAACCAATGTCTGTAAGAAAAATCACATAATGTCTATGTAAGTAACAATGGGAGTAGGTTATTGGGATTCAATTTATTTACCAAGTATCCTGTCGCAGGGAAGAGGACCCTGCCGTCAATAGTATGTCCAGCTAAATATTGATCAGATTCTTTACTCAAGTCTACTTCAACCACAAGTTCACCGGATCGATTTCCTTTTCCGGAAAAATTTGCCACAGACCACTGAATCGAGTGATCCCATTCTATCATAGAATTAATCATAGGAGTTCCCCTACCGACAGGGAAAGTCACTGGGTGGTACAAATTTCCCAACCTGGGTTGTGCACCGGCACCAAAAATTCTGGAAGAAAATAAAATCAGCTTCATAGTCATTGCAAGGGTTTCATAAATTGGCATGTTTGTTGCTTTGTATGTACAATATGCAATACTGATAGTTATGAAACGTTGAAGAGCGAGCGGGAGTTGGGGAAGTTTTTGAGGAAGTTTTTCAAATATGAGTAGTTTTAGTTTTTACTTCATATCTCCGTAAGTATAGATTCTCTGGAGAATACTCATATAACATGGACGTCATATTAACGTATATCACTGGAGGTCGGTAAAGACGTCCCAACAAAGTCAACCTTTTTTCATTCGTAAACTGAACTTATTGAGTTATTCTGATATTTTCTTCAAAATTCGCAAAAAAATCTGAATTTCCGTTATGAGCAGTTTGCGAAAGAATGTGATTATTCTCGTCTTTCGAGTGTACAAAAGTAAAAATTTCAATCTCACTTCTATATTTATTGATTCACAGATCAAAACTAAACTTTGGGATCTGATCTATAGCTGTTTTACTGGATATAAAAACAGGTTTGGAATATAGGTATGTGGCATACCTAGCGAATACCCAGGTAGAACAGTGACCTAAGAAGACGTAATAATGACGTAGATTTTTTGTCAAACATTCTTTCGTTCAGCCGAAGCGAATAATCAGTGTTCTTCTTACCTCTTTATGGTCTACTCCACGAAATTTGAGTTCGTATTTACGTTTCTTTACAACGTGAAGCTCAATTTGCCGCAACTTTTGGTACGTTGCAATCAAACTACTTTTTTCCGCTTACATCTCGTCGACGCTCGCTACATAATATCAGATACTGATATATGAATAATTAATGCGAACTACTGATATAACGGCAGGATCGAATAGTATTACTCAAGGAGGGATCAAGACATCAATGAATCTCTTCAAGGGTTAGTGTTGTATTATTATGGTTTCTATAATACCGTGTAAACGCCTATTTATACCCTGAAATTTTGTCTAGGTCTCCAGTACGTAATTTTTTGACGTCAATCTGTCAGTTTTGTGACCAAATCAGGACGCCATTCAGACGTCACTGTGCTACCTGGGCGCCGGATTCGAACCAAGAGCACTTACATCGGTAAACGGCTTGCTAGCGAATGTGAGTGCTTAGACCGCTCTCATGCCATGCCTCATCTGTGACTATTCAAATAGAATTTCTGAAATGAAGTCAATGGCAAGTGACATTTGAGGAGTCGAATTTACCCGAATGGAAATAGTCCTAGACCGACAACGCAGAACGATTCTGGCTAATATGGTGGTGAATTTGAATTTGTTAGATGTGCCCTATGCTTTGCGTGCGTTCGATTCTTGAGAAAAACATCACTCAAACAGCGAATCAATTACTGTTATCATCCTCAATAGTACGGTTTTAACGAGGGTTTTGACTAAAATCACCAAAATGAAGTATGTGGTAGCCGCAAGCGAACACAGGACCTTCACTATACCTGGTTCAACACAGTATGTTACTTGTACGTTATGCTGGTGCGATCAAGCTACTACTACTACAACTTCACATTGGACTATAATAATATTCGCATCATCCTCAGATGTTTTTGAAATTCAACATTGCCCAAGAGTGAAATATAAATGTTCACAGATACTCTGCTTTCCTGAAGTCTACCAACAAGATTTAGCCAGACCTGGCGGTCTTACCACCTACAAATAACTGACCAGCGGCACTCATACAGGTTTTTTTATGTTTTGGTTCCCACGATAAAAGGGATATCCTGTAATGTTCAGAGAACATCTTGAGAACCAAGGAAAATAAGGTAGGAATTGGTGTTCTTCTTGAATTTCTGGAGGTTATATGCCTAGCGAAACACCTACCTTGGCATGGGGCTGAGAGAAGGCGTATATGGAGCCCTAGAATCTACCATGAATCATGACCATATAGTGTCAGCCTCTGTTATGAAAACCCTATTCTGCAGCTGTGCCCATCTGATTGTGGCTTACGCTGTGGATGTCGTGAGATTGGATTAACGTTCTCCTCAGTTTGTATCAACTGTGAAAAACCTTTTACCAGAAGACTGACTACCTCAATAAAGATAAAGAAAAATTAACTCCAATCTAAATACTCATTATTCATCATTTACCCAAGGATTGACAATAGATACTTTTCAAATTTGCCTTAGTTTCATCTGTCCTGTAAGTATAAAATTATCACTAATTTGAAAATGATTTATATGTCTTTCGAAGCAAATTTCAACAACTTCCATTTGGTATAGGTATACATTTTTCGTAGGATTGATAGTAACAGATGAATGAGCTGTTAACAAAGAAAAATCACACTCAGACCCCCCTGCTCGCTCTCTTCTTCGCAGGACTTCAGTATGTTACATTATATGTACACTGAACAATTATACCAATTTTTAGAACTCTTTTTCTATTCCGCAGCTGCCGACACCAAGAATGTTTTCATTATCATGGATGAATTTATGTTGAATTGGTGTAAGTCATTCAGAATATGATAGCTCTGTGTTAAATAAAGTTGACAGTCACAAGAATCACAAACAATATACATTGAGAAACGCTGAGCAATGAAGTGATAGAATTGATAATCATAACATTCAAATGTCAGGCTTCATTAAAAACTATTTGCTCATGTCGAAGTCATGATACTACTAATCAAACAATATTATAATGAGAACAGATTAGACGATCTGCACAAGAAATATTGTATCTGAATGATCCTCGAATATTGTTGAATGATGTTTGATGCTTATAGATATATGAACTTTGTAGACGGTGACGTTTGCGAAAAAATTGTTCGAAAAATTAATAATGGTATTTATCGAAAAGAATCTCACTTACTTTCCAATAGCAGACAACAAAAATGATATATTGTCGTCATGTCCCCTCTTAACAAGGCTGATATTCGTGGCTTTGGGCCCTAAAGCCCTTTTTAGAATAGCTTGAAGGAGACCAGTAGGAGCAATTTCGATCACGATGGCATTCTCAGGGACGTGTCTCAAAGCTTCTCGGAACAAGACAGGAGATAGCAAATTATTCACATGGTACGCCGAAGAACTATGTTGTGCCAATGGAGTTAACCATCCTGATTCAGGAATGGAAGAAGATATCCATCTGGGAGATCTGGGTTTCGGATTCGGAATAATTTCGTCTAGAGCTTTACGTAGTCTCGGACCAGCATCAGCAATATACTTGCTATGGAACGCTGTGCCTGAACTTTTGACTCCTTTTGCAAAAATATCCTCACTTTGTAGTTGCGCTACAAACTTTTCGATTGCATCTGGAGGTCCCGAAATAGTTACACTGTCATCACTGTTGTGACATGCAGGAAATATATCAGGAGGACACCTACGTTTTGTTTCTTCCCAAGAAAGTCCAACTGCTGCCATAGCACCTGGAGCTAATTTACTTTCCAATATGGCACGTCCTCTAGAGTATGCTGCCAAAACTGCTTGTTCTCCAGTAAAGGTACCATCAGCATATGCACAACCAACTTCTCCGACCGAGTGACCGATGATAATATCAGGTTCAACTCCAAGAGTTTTCAGTACGTCAGTTAAAGCTACCTGCATAGCAGCTATGGATACAAAGGAATTCAGGACATTGTCGAATGTTGTCTCTGATCCATTAGTCAGAATGTCTTCTAGATTCATATTTTTTGACTTCAGTGCATCTGAGCAGTTTCTAATCGAGTTTCTGAAACAGTCCAACTGCATCAACTCTTTCGCCATTCCAGGCCATTGGGCGCCCATTCCGGAAAATATAAATACAATAGGCCTATTTTCGCCAGTGACTTGCATAACCTCTTTAATGGGTTGGTTTTTCAAAACGGCGTATCCCCTATAAGCATGTCCGTTGATATTCTTCTTATGAATTTCATCCAAAAGTGCTAAGAACTCTTCGTCATTCTTGTTCTGTTCAATTTTATTTAAGAAATTGTTCACAGCCTCTTCAGTTCTACCAGAAACTCCCACTACTCGTGGAATCGGCCCAACAGGCCAGGTAGTTTTGGGTTTTGGATTAGAACGCAAGACAACATGAGCGTTAGCACCTCCGAAACCGAAGGAGTTGATAGCGATTATTCCACCATTAAATGCTTCATTTTCTGCTACAACCTTGAGTCGTCCGTCATTTAATGCAGGTATGTCTTTGTTAGGGCTTTTGAAATGAAGATTCTGAGGTATCATTCCTGCTTCCATAGCTATCACAATTTTAGCCAAGGAACATAAGCCAGATGCAGGTTCTGAATGTCCCATATTACTTTTTACTGAACCAATCAGTAGAGGATCTTTACGATCTTTGCAGAAGAAATCAGCAATTGAGTTGATTTCTTGGGGATCACCCACTTTGGTACCAGTACCATGGGCTTCTACGTAAGCTACTTCCTGTGGTTTGACACCAATTTCATCGTATACTTCTCTGATGAGTTTATTTTGCATGGCTCCAGAAGGAAATGTGATGCCCTGCTCCTTATTACCATCAGTATTGGTTCTTGCACCAAGTACCGTTGCATATACTCTCTTTGCTGCACTAGATTTTTGTAAATAAACTACCACCGCTGCCTCTGATCGAACGTAACCATTACCAGAGGCGTCAAAGGCTTTGCACATACCTTGAGGGCTCAACATGCTGAGTCTATGAAACTGTAAAGAACTTGTAGGTTTGAGAAGAAGATTGACTCCTCCTACTATCGCAGCATCGCATTGTCCAGTCTTTATTGCGGTAACGGCTTGTTGGAATGCGAATAAGCTACTGGAGCAAGCTGTGTCAATGGCATAGCTGGGTCCTGAGAAATCGAATGTATATGATATTCTATTAGGAAACATAGCTCTGCAACATCCGGTGAGCCCATAACCATTTACTTTGTCGGGATCCATGGTCCAAAATTCTGAAGATTCAGAGTCAGACACTCCGATGAAAACGCCGGTTTTTGATCCTTTCATGTCTGCAGGATTCACACCTGCATCTACCATAGCTTCGTGTGTTAGTTCTAAGAGCATTCTCAACTGTGGATCCATAACATGTGCTTGTTTAGCATGAACCCCAAAAAAAGTTGCATCGAAATATTCCAAATTTTTTATTTTACCAGTACGTGTAGGTAAACCATATAAGCCCGAAGGCCATCTTCGGGGATCATCTGTTACTAGGTCGACACCATCGAAGAGCTGTTGTTTGAATTCTTCTATTGTGTTGCTTTCAGGGAGACGTCCAGAAATACCTGTTATGACGATTTCGTCATTGACGGTGTTTCCGAAGTTACGTTCGAATTCTGGTGCTCTAGCAGGCATTTTGCTGTCCTTTCAGTTGAATCTGAAAGAGAATAGACAATATATTAGGCCTTCAGTACATACAAACACAATAATTAAAATAGTTGCTTCTTCTGGTCGAATATTCGTACAATAATTATTGAATTGAATTGAATATTTCAATCTGTTTTTGCTGGTCCGTAATTGGTTTCTTCTCTTCAGGAAGATCACAAATACATTTTTCGTGGTTTTTCAATAATGCATCGATAATGGTTTAAGATCAATACGATAATGTTTAGAGATTTTTGAATGGTTCAAGTCATTCCAAGAGAATAAATATCAACTCGGAAGAATATGATTTGCAGTGGAGAGTCGACATACGATCATCAAAATTGGTGATCATCAAAGTACCTCAGCGAAATGCCTCTCATGATTATTGTAAACACGGGGGAAGTGAGCAAATCCCGAGGCAAATCCCAACACTAATTTTCAAGAAAAATCTCGTGATGGTTGAGCCCTGATGAGCCCTGATGATTACGTATTAGCCGAATGCGCTTCGAAATTTAAATTGAAACATTTTCCATGGAACGCAGTAGGTATCTCGCATATTAATACGTGTGTACACACGTGGGCAAACATTCACTCCATTGATGATAAACAATATTTTTCCTCGAAAAGCATTTTCATTGACGAAGTAGAAGGAGAAGTAGGTAGGTACTATACATAATTCAATAGAGAATATTTTTATTATGAGCACCTCATGTCATTCATTATGTTTGATATGAATAATTTTGCGTTTCGACGATAATCTACGTCAATAAAAAGTCCCATGTTAAAATTAATTTTTGAGCTGACGTTTATGATGATTATTATTGGATATCCATGCTTCCTGTATAGTGGAGACCAGAATTTTATGCTGATTCTGCCACGTACCACAAGAAGAGTTTAATCACGGTTTATGAAAGTTGAATAGTGGCAATAAATGGTGGTCATAGCGATACTATTTTGCCGATTTCGGCGATTGTTACGACAGCTTGTTGCCTAATAATTTCGCCGGATGACATTGTTAATCAAAACTTTCGAGCCGTAGGCGAGAAGTTATGGAACAATGCCTTGAGCGAAAGTAAAGCAGCAAGGTGGATTAAGTCAATCGAGGAATATTTCCAGGAAAAATAGTATCACGAGTTGTATTCGTATGACTATTCCACTCTTGATCTCGAGAACCAATCAGATACGACCATTTTCACGGTTTCTTCTGTATTCTAATGATATTTTTTGTTCATTAAATTTTATCGGACTTGCTCTACAAATACAGAAGCCGAATTGACCCACACGTGACCAACAAACCTCGTTTATCAGCGATAAAATTTTGACATCGTGTCTGGTCAAGATTGCATTGGATTCAAATCTGACACAATAACCTAAGTTCCTACTTTATTTTATTTACTTATAATTTGCGTTAGTGATAAGTGTGACGTTGAGGTTTAGGGCGCACATGCGCAGAACATAAGATAGGTCACGACAGTAACATGAATAGCAAAATGAGCCCTCTTCTGTCGGGTCCACCAAGCAAACAACATGATCAGATGTCTGTGATATTAGTAATAATAAAATCCGTATAGTGTACCACGATTAGTGTGTTTCATTGGAACAGAAATTACCGGGCATTAATTATGTAACTATTAATACGTTACAATTTGGCGACGAGTGAAAATTCGGATAATTCGTGAAACACGTGGCACGCGGTCGTGAAAGAGATAAGAAAATGGCCGCCGGTATAATTGGTAGTGTCCATGAATTTAATGGAATATCGGACGATTGGATCATCTATAGTGAGCGTTTGGAACAGTATTTCTGCGCGAACAAAATAGAAGACGTTAAAGTTAAACTCGCGACTTTAATCAGTTTAGTAGGTGATTCCACGTATAAGTTGTTAAGAGACTTGTGCCATCCGAGACTACCCAAGGAAAAAACATACGAAGAACTGTGTGAAATGTTGGAAAAACAGTTCAGCCCGCAGACATCAGAATGGAGAGAACGGATAAAATTCTACGACTCGAGGCAGCAAAGCTCGGAATCAATTAGTGAGTGGTTCGCGAGAATAAAAAACTTGTCAGTAAATTGCCAGTTCGGAGCGGCATTGGAGACCGTATTAAAAGACAAATTTGTCTCTGGCTTGCAAAAAGGGAAGTTGTTGGACCGTCTCTGCGAGGAAGGAGTGGAGAAGCCGTTGGATGAAATGGTGAAGCTAGCTTCCAAGAAAGAATCCGGTATGAAAGAAGAAAATCTCCAACATTTTTCAAAATTCCCGCCAAGAAGGAGGAGCCAACAGCAGCAGCGCCACCAGTGGGCAAGGTCAGAAACCAACACTGGTAGAGGGGCGACGCAGAATCGACACCGACAGGGGGCCGGGACATCAAATGTCATAAGTAAAATGGCGGAAACTGACAGTCATCGAAATGGATCAAATCTAAATGGAAATGGAAAGTTTCAAAACAATAGAGAATGTATGGTGTGTGGTAAGAAACATCTGGGAAAATGTAAGTACACGAACTATTTTTGTGATAAATGCAACAAAAAGGGCCATCTTGCCAAAGTTTGCAGAGCAAATAGACATTTTACCAATTTTATTGAAGAAGATTGGATGGAATCTGAACAAGTTAGTGATCATGAACAAATTTTCGCAATCAACCAGCGCCATCAAAATCACAATAATTTTAAAATCAATCTAGTAATGGACAACAAAGTGCATAATGTTCAAGTAGACAGTGGTGCAAGCATAAGTGCATGTAGTGAACTTATGTATAATAACTACTTCGCGAAATACAGACTAAAACAAGACTATTCAATATTAAAAGGTTATAATGGCGAACATTTTCGGAATGTGGGTTATTTCAGCATTGAAGTAACATTCAACAATAAAACTAACTTGATCAAATTTTATGTAGTGCCTGATGGAGGTCCCATGCTTGTGGGACGGGACTTTTTATCGAAATTCAACGTAACCCTGAATGTTTTGAATGACATAACTCCAAATGAGGAAATAGAAAAATTGATGAACAAATATAGTGATATTTTTCGAAATGAATTGGGTTTATATAAACATAGCCTTGTTTCTTTACAGTTGAAGCCTACTGCCAAGCCTGTTTTCCTGAAGCCTCGGAATGTTCCATTTGCATACCGACCAATGGTAGAGGAAGAACTCCAGAGATTAGAACGTGATGGCATCATAGTTCCTGTCCAAAATAGTGAATGGGGAACACCATTGGTAGTTGTACCGAAGAATGATGGAAAGATTAGGATCTGTGGAGATTATAAGGCAACCATAAATAAGTATCTGGAGGAAATAACATATCCATTGCCATTGTGTGAAGATATATTTGCAAAACTTTATAAAGGTGAGAAATTTTCTAAAATTGATCTGTCGCAGTGTTATGCTCAATTTCCATTAGATGAAAAATCCCAAGAAATGTTAGTATGGTCTACTCACAAAGGATTATTCAAAATTGTACGAATGCCTTATGGGATTAGTCCTGGCACAGCTATTTGTCAAAGGAACTTGGAACAGCTTTTTCAGGGCATGGAGAATGTTAGTAACTTTCTCGATGATATTTTGATAACTGGAAAAGACGATGAGGAGCATTTTCAGGTCATCGAGGCAGTTTTTAAAAAACTGCAGGAAGCAGGGCTAACAATTAAGAAGGAAAAATGTAGTTTTTTTCAGGAACAAATCGAATATTTGGGCCATGTAATTGGAAAAGAAGGAATCCGTAAATCAGAAGACAAGGTAAAAGCAATAATTCAAGCAAGAAGACCAAGTACAGTACAAGAAGTTAGATCTTTCATAGGTCTAGTAAATTACTATAGCAAATTTATTGAAAATCTGTCATCCTTATTGAAGCCTATTTATAATTTATTGAAGAAAAACGCAAATTTCAGCTGGACAGACAAATGTGAAGAAGCTTTTACCAGAATAAAACACAAAATTGCTGAAGATATAGTGTTAGCTCACTTCAATCCGAATTTGCCCCTGGTACTTACCTCAGATGCATCTAATTATGGTATGGCCGCCACACTAAGTCACATTCTACCAAATGGAGCAGAAAAGCCAATTGCTTGTGTGTCAAGAACATTGATGAAAAATGAAGAAGCATGGTCTACCTTAGAAAAGGAAAGTGGAGCAATAATTTTTGGAGTACGTAAATTTGAAAAATACCTAGCAGGTAGGAAATTCATTCTCAAAACAGATCACAAACCATTAACAACAATTTTTGGTGAGCATAAACAGCTACCAGTAATGCACACTAGTAGGTTACAAAGATGGGCTTTGTATTTAGCAGGTTTCCACTATGAAATTCAGTATATAAAAGGAGAAAACAATCAAATGAGTGATTATCTATCTCGGGCTCCGTTGAAAGTAAATACAATAGACCCAGAGTATGAAGGAAAAGGGGAATATGTGAATTTCATCAAAAATTCAGAGGACTGGCCAATCAATAGTGAAGAAATTAAAAATGAAATCAGGAGTGACAAAGAGCTGAAAAAAGTATGTATGTTCCTTAAATCAAATAACTGGCCCAGAGAAATTGAAGAAACATTGAAACCATACTATAGAAGACGTGAAGAACTGCATATAATTGATGGACTACTGATGTGGGGACACAGAGTAGTTATTCCACATAGATTTCGATCTAGGTTGCTGGAAGAAATTCACTCAGCGCATTTGGGCATAGGAAAAACAAAATCACTAGCAAGAACATACATGTTTTGGCCTAACATAGATAAAGATATTGAACGAATGATAAACAGTTGTGAGCCTTGCCTCAGTCAGAGACAAAGCCCACCTAAAAATCCACTAACACCATGGGAAGCTGAATCTCAACCTTGGCACAGAGTTCATGCTGATTATTTAGGCCCAGTTCAAGGAAAAACATTTTTAATAATTATTGATGCTTTTACTAAATTTCCAGAAGTATACCAGATGAAAACCATGAGTGCAGGGGAGTTAGAAGAAAAGTTAAGAGACTGTTTTTCGAGGTTTG